ATAAAGAGCAGACAATGAATTGCAGTGAATGACACTTGTGAGCAACGAGAAACTGGGTCAGTTCCAAGCTCGTGCAGAGTGTAGGTATTGCATTGATGAGGGGAAGGAGACTGCCAGCGTTTCTTACCGTGCTGTCAAATCTTCTGATGGAGGTTGGGGTCATCTAGCAAAACTTGCTATGACAGAACACTGAGTAATACAGAATGTTAGTTAGTTATTCATTAAGGATTTACAGTTTTCAGCTGGTGTGCTGTCACAATTTTAATTACTTCATGAAGCTGTATGCTGAGGTCATGCAGAAAATGCCATTGCCTCTAACATGTATTACTTACTTTTTTTGAACTGATGCATTGCTACCAAATGGGATTGTAACTCCAAGAATCTCTAATTTTCAGGAGCTGGACTCAAGTTTGAAAATAGGTGTGGGTTGTGTTTGTCTCTGTCCCTGGTACAGGGCCTTTTTGCTTTCCTGGGCTCTGTGCCGTTGTGCTTTCATACCCTCCTGCACACCTTCGGGCCGTGATGGACGAAAGCTGCCTGACCTAAGGGTTGTGCTCGGGCACATTTTCAGTAGCACAGATGAATGGCTGAGTGTTGTATCTAATGTGGAACTGAAGGTGAAAATTAGAGTTCTCTGTTCTTCTGTAGTCTTTTAATTTGAAGACTAGTAAACAACCAATTTTACTGAGAAACTTTTAATAAACAGTCTATGGAATGGACAATTTGTCTGATGGCGAGTTGTGAGCTTGACAAAGAGTTTTCTTCCCTGAAAATAAGGTGTAGTTATCATAATCTGTTTTTCTCCTACTGTGGCTTTGTTATGTGCTGAATGCAGCAGTGGGTGGGGTAAGGATAAATCTAAAAACATGTAATGGAAGTAAGATTCACCAGGTGGCATAAAGAAACCTGCTGGGAGATGAATGGATAGTGAAAATTTCTCCGCAATCTGGAGCTGAGGGGAAATACCACTTGGGCACGGCTTCACTTGCCTGAGAGCAGAGCCTATGTGTGGGATCAGCAATAACCTCAGAGATGAGTTAAAAACAAGAAAATCCGTTCAAAGACTGTGTCAGAACATCCTCAAGTTTGTGGTCAGCTTCTCTGTCACTGTAAACACTTTATCCAGCAACAGACTTGTGGCCACCCGGAGCGGAGGCCGGGCAGGACTGCCGTGCTGTTTGCGACCTGGCAGATCATCAGCAGTTCCGTGCGAGGTACGGTACCTGCTCCGGTGAACTTCAGCAGGGGACTCGAAGGAAGTCCAAGGTACGACAACCGCTTTTCAAGTGCGGAAGGCTAGCTTATGGGCAGCTTTTTCACCTCTCTGCTGAAATTCAGAGAATTAAATTCGGAGAGAACCATTGCAGTATTGTATTTGGAATATTAAGAATATTTCAAAGTTTCTGTTACTTCAGTAAATACAAGTTAGAGAAATACTGGTTATGCCATGCTTCCTCTTGAGCGTGAATATTAGATATGGAGCTGTATGTGGTTTTGATGATGATGGTTAGGGTGTGGTGTTTCTTTTGTTGTTTCGTTTCTGCTTGTTTGCAGGCATTTATTGAGCACTGATGCAAGGTGAAATCTCCAGGAGCTGAGTTAGGGGGTTAGGCTTCTTGCTGAAGACTCTAGGATCTGACCGCGCTTGAGCAGTTTAGCATGGGGCAGGATATGTAGAAACGGTGATTTAAGAAAAAAAACAATTTTCAGTTTTAGTAAGCATGCTCTTAAATGTGTTAAAATATGAAATGATAGTGCAACGTGTAGGTACAGGTCTTAAGTATGTAAGTTTAGTATTATAAAATATAAGAAAGACCTGTTGGACCAGCTAAAATCTGAATAAGAAGAGTTACTGGCCTAAGTACCTGTAGAGTTTTTGTTAATCGGCTTTTGATAGCTGTAATTGCCTCTTGAAATCTGAACAGAGTATTTTCTTACAGGTTGGCTCATCTGGTTTGGGACATTGAGTGACTTATACTGAGAAAGCAGGAAGGCTCTTTGTCTTCTGTTTGCCTTCAGTCTGCAAATAAAAATGATGCAAGAGGATCTACCAGGTCCAGTCTTGAGAAATGTGACCAAAATAAGTGAAGTACATGTGAGCCCCCCACAAAACTGCCATTGTTTGTTAAATGCTTATGTACCAAACCATGTATTTCAGGCTTATCTATTACAATACATGCACTTCAGTTAGACTAATAGCTTATAATTGAAATAACATTAAATGCTGGGTTTGTGCATTTAATCAAATTTCGGTTTCCATACCAATGAAGCTCAGCAGACAAGAACAAACAATTAGTGTAGCAAATTAAAAGTGGCATTTCTTTGTGTTAAATAGATCCAGATCCATACTAGCTATGTAAATGCTAAAACCTAACATGCATCCGTAGTCTTAGTTACTAGAAGAATATCTTAATGTATCAGACTTTACTGACTGGTGGACTCTTTTTAATAAAGAGAAATTAAGTCATTACAACTAGAAGAACCCAAACTTTCATAATCAGTGATTGCAGTCACTGAGTTTAATCTTTGTACGAAAGCAGTCTCCTGAGTTGAGATTCACATTTTCAAGGCTTTAGTTTAGAGCTCTGGCTCCTCATCTGTGTTGTTTCATGCATTTACTCACCTCTTAAATTGTGAATCGACAAGGCATTGAGTTTTTTGTACCACTGGCGGTTTGTGTATCAGAGTTAGGAACACATGGTTTATAAGTAAGGGGAATCTCCTGTCTGTCAGAGATACTTTTCTACCTTAGGAGAGGTTGGGCTTTCTGTTCTTTTCTACTGGTTCCTGTAGTGGTGAACTTCTGTGTCTTGGAAATACAAGGCTGAAATTTATTTTGAAAACTTTGATGTGTTTACCTAACGCTTTACAGGAGGTGTTTATTATATGTACCTGAGACGGGGCCGTTGACATTTTTATTGGATGTAGCATTTCTTTGGGCTAAATTTCTTTTATATCTCTGCCTTGAATTGAGGGAGGACAAATAATCCTGTGGAGACGGTATCAAAGCATTCTCATTCACCCACCAGCTTATCTTTGCAGACGTGTTTTGATGAGTAAATAGTGCTGGTAGAGTATAGAGGTGCTTTTTTGAAGTTCATGGACAGCTGGCTTCTGTCACTTGGCAGAAATTTTTACAGCTTGCTGTTTTTTGCCCATTCCCGAGAGCTGTTTCCATCCCTGCTGCTTCTCTTGCCCCCGTGGTGGTGTGATCTGGTATGGGTCCATGCAGGTCAGCGATCAAGGCTTTTCTTGGAGGTATGGAGGTGAAGGTCCCAGCTCTGTTTGCAGGGCAGCTTTTGGTAGCACAGGGCTGAAACTATCTGCTCTGCCTCTGAGGAGATGTCTATAACCCCAGCATATCAGAAAACATCTTCTATTAGAGGTAATACATAAAAAAAAGTTAAACACATTAGTAGATGTTCTACCTTCATTGGCAGATAACTGTTACGGGGCCCCAATTCTGCATTAATTGATACTCGATCTGTACAACTGTATTTCTGCTGAATTAGTTGGAGCATGGGATCTTTCTTGTTGCAGGGGCACAAACTGATCTGACTTAAAATTAATGTGGACAGACAATAGCTTCATTTGGTCTGAAGCTTGCAGTTTCAAAGCCAACTCATCACATTCATTCAGAAAACTGAACTAGCAAGGTGAACTTGTACTGAATCAACACTTTTTCTCATGTGCCTATTACAGTCTTGATTTGATATTGGAAGCTCTCAAATGGGATTTAATGTGTTGAAAAGTAGTCTTGGATACTGGATATAGGTCCTCTCTGCCTTTCTTTCAAATAAAATGATTATTTTGAGTAGCTAATTATCTCTTATCCCTTGCATTATAAAGGGGAAGATGAATGAGAAATTAGTTCCAGTTTGAATGCAAGTAGGAGGTGTCCTAGCCCAAATGCATCTCTGAAAGACTTCAAATGAAGCAGAAAATACAGGTTGCATTCGTGTAACACACAGGGCAGCGTGCTGACCGAGTGCGCATCTGCTGCGGGAAGGATGCACGGCGACTTCCCAGCACTCGGGCTCCAGAAGGAAAACATTCTCAATTACACAGAAAGATTACACGAGATAATTAAACCTGAAAGGGCTTCCTGGATTGTTTTATAATGGCAAAAATGTGTTTGTTTTATGAAACATGTGAAGCTGGCTGGAAATTAAAGCTGGGTGGGTGGGTGTATATTTTATTCATCTGTTACGAAGTCCTTCCTATGGATAATGCTTGTTGTAAATGTCTATTTTGAGTACTTAGCAGAAAATCTGGAAATGAGCGTGCTGTAAAGAAAATTTAAAAAGCTAGTTGAGCCCTATGTTGAAATAAATGATGAGAGCCGTGAAACACCTGGCATTCAACATGTAATTGGGAAAATCTTTGGAACAAAAGCTTTCTGTAAGAGAGTGAGCAACCACCTCAAAAGCTTCTTTTTTTCCTGTATGAAACCTAGATTTTTCTATTAGTCAAATCTTGCTTGTTTTATCAAAAAACTTACCTGTTTTATCGCTGACTGACTTAGAAAAATAATATTTGGTGGCTAAAGGAGATGAAGACTTGTTTGTATGGCACAATTTAAATTTATAGTCTTGCCTGTTATTTCTGGTGTTTGATTAATTAACTTACAAAACAGTTGAGAACTTTTCTTTTAAATTTCAAATTACAGGTCCACAACTAGCTTTGGCAAGACTGCTCTCAGGTGAGTGACTCGTGGGCAGGTTATGTTATCTAATGATGTGTCCCAACAAATTGGTATTGGTTTTTTTGGCTTTCAGTTGACAAGTTTCATCTTGGGTTCTGTATTAAGCTTGTAGAACTGAAACATGGTCTGAACGTGGTTTCAGTTTTTCTTCACTTTTTATGTAAAGTTAAGGAGTTTCTTGTTCCCTCTGGCCGATCTATAGCTCTTACGGCTGTTGTTAGAGAGGACAGGCGAAGTGTTACCAGGGAATACATCGTTATGAATTGCTGATATTTCTGAAAGACAAATGTTTGTTCAGGCAGGAGCACGCTGGTGAACCGGCAGGTTGCTTGGATTTTAGGGAAGAAATACGGTGTTGCCATGGGAGCGTGTGCAGTCAGGACCACTGACTTCTGCTCCAGGGCTCATCTTATCTGTAGCCTTTGGCGAGCGATGTATTTTTTTCTGTACTTTGTTGTAAGCACTGGTAGGGGGATGTGGTGGTTGGCGAGGTTGTTGAGGGTTAACATTGTAGAAGTGCTTTGAGATGAGAAAGTGAAGAGGCTATAATGACACCTTGCTGCTAGGAGTGTTTTCACGTTCTCACACTGCTTGAACCTTGTGAGATTTTATAAGTTTATATTATGTATAGTGCAAAAAACAATTGCTGCTATTTCCAGGGTTTTACGTGCCTCCCTCCTTCCCAGCAAATGCCAGATGAATTTAATTGCTCTAAAATGAGATTTCGGTCTACTAAATTTTGTGCTGTAGTGTAGCAAAGACTGCATCTGATCCTTCAAAGAAAAAGAAGCCTTTTATGTTAGAATTTCATATGTGAATCATAATACTGCTGATGTAACTCGTACGTGAACGCTGGAGATGGCTGCGTTTCCATTTTTTCCCTTCTAGGCAGTTGTTGATGCCGTTAGCTGATGCTGTATCGGTGCCTCTGCTGCAGCAGCTGCTTGCTTGTAGCTGAACTTGTGCCATTACAGGTTTTCTAGCAATATTGAAAATACTGTATGTTTCTGCTCTAACAGGTGGTGGAAAATATATGGCTTTAGTGCTGCTAGGAGGTGATAGTTTAAGATACTTTTCTTTGTCATCTTTTCTTGCTGTGAGTTACCATCGATAGCTATGAACAGTGTGGGATATCTGACTATGAACAGTGTGGGATATCTGACTATGAACAGTGTGGGATATCTGACTTCAGGGACAGAAGCGGGACTGGTATTTTTGAAACTTTGCTTTTCTTTTGAAGAACTGGAAATCTGGTATGGGTGAAGAGCCAGTTTTTTATTTACCATGCTCCTCAAAAGTACAAAGTCTGAGTGTGCGTTAAGTCATCGCATTTCAGGAAAGACGGATGATTACACTGTGTTGTGCTGTTGTTTGCCACTGCTCATATGTCTTCAGAGCTGCACATGAATCCTGTTCTGCTGCTGGCAGCATGATTTTCCTTTTCTGCGGTAAAGACAAGCTTGAAATGTTTTCATTTTTCTGCTGTTTTGACTTAAAAATAGGCTACTGAAATGAAATGCTTGACAGGGTTGTGGGGACTAGCACCTGTGCTGTGCATCCTCGCCTCTCCCAACGTCCTCCGTTCCTTGGCTGAGTATCCCCCAGGTTCATTATAGGCTTCCTATTTTTATGTCTGTATTTTACCTCTGAAGGCTCCAGCTGTGCCTGGCTGATGTGCTCGGCTGCAGGAGTCTGGAACCTGGTGCGCAGGGCCCTGTGGGGCACACGGGGCCGAGGGGATGGTGTTGGCCGATGGCCCTTGCCCCCAGTGGGCACTGTGGGGCTGGCCATGCTGCTGAGCCACCCGCCCACTGCTGTATCTTGTCCGGGTGATGGCCCACCAGTATGTGTACGGTGGGGCCTTACTGGAAATCTGTACTCCATCAATGGCAAAGGGTTTCCAAAAGAGCTGATCTTAAGCATCCATGCTCAAGGAGGCCATCGGGTATGTCCAACCCCCCCCGAGCACAAGTGAGAGAGGCGGTTAGATTTTTCTCAGATGATTGCACCTTGTTTCTCTTTGTGCTAAACCACAACAAGAAGCAAAACAATTTGGATGAAACTCTTTCAGAAACTGCGTGATGATTTAGTTAGTTTAGTTCAATAACGCGTGGGGATGGGGGCCCTGGGTTAGGACGGCTCAGGAGGTGTTACCGGCAGTATTTGCAGAATACGGAGATTTTCATTTCACAGTATTTCTTTTAGTGTCACTTTCTTCCCCTCTGCAGTAGAATTGTGTAGCAGTTCGTGTTCCTTGGTCTGAAATAATTAGTGCTATAGCATGGTTTCCATTGGGAACAATCGTTCAGCCGGTTTGAGTCGTGTTTTAATAGAAATGTTTTGTACTCTTCCATGTATCCACATTCTTCAGAGAGGAGCGTCTGTAATATGGGAAGTAATGACATTACGGCATGGAACTGGCATTTTTTTAATGCCTATAATATTGGGTTGGAGTCATCCTTTTATCCGAACCAGTCATACGTAATTGTACGTAAAACAATAATAGCATGTATGAAATTGTAGAGAGACAAAAGTATTCTTTACTGTTTTTTCCCATGTGCACGTTGGCTTCTAGTGCTTTAGTGGTGGATGTTGCCTGCGAAACCAGAGGGCTGCAGAACAGCTTTCTTCACAGGGGTGTGCGTGACTTCCCTTAAAATCAAGCAGTAAAAAAATTAAGTGTATTCAATTTGGAATTGAATTTTGCCATAACCGCAGGTGGATGCAATGGAAACCTGGAGCTGGGCTGAGGATAGTCTTTCACGTGTGACAATATCTACCGCAGGCTCCCGTGTAAATTCCATACTTGAGACTGCGATAGCAGAACTTTCTAAGAACCCTCCCGCCGCGTGCTGACATAGCGCAGAAGTGGTGAAAGAAGCTGCAGTGATTCACTGCAGAGTTGACGCTTTTCTGTGAACTTGAAATTTGAATGGCTTTCATTTCAGCTTGAGGTTTTGTATGTGTTTGGTTTGGGTTCCCCCCCCCCACACCGACCTTGAAGATAGATTTTAAAGTTTGTCTCTTGCTGCGTTGGGTGAGTGAATCTTAACGTTTTATTCCCCCAATCAGGGGGAATAAAACCTTTTATTCCTCCTTTCCCTCTTTGGGCTAAATAAAATACTTCAGTTTTTGTTCTGGGGCAGGGGGGATAATTACGACCTAAGCTGGTAGATTATTATTTTTTTAATTATTTTTTTCTAAACACGTTTTCCCTGTGCTCATTCCCTGTTAGCTGTTTGGACTGAGTAAAACCCTGCACGGGTGAGAGCACTCTTGCCTTGCCGCGCGGTCTGGCGTTGCCGTCAGCAGTCTGGCAGGTCTGCCTGAGTTCTTAGCCATTTGGTGACCTGGATGTTTGCTCAGAGTAGGTGGTTGCTAAGAGGATGTGCCCGCTTTTATTTTTCTAGAAGAGCAGGTCTGTGCTTTGAAGAGAAACTGGGACTAGAACTGCATTTTAGTCTAACATCAAATTAGAAGCCTGTTATCAATATCGAATCCCAATTACTAGGTGTACAGGTACAGCTTTTATTGAGAGTTGCATGATGCCTGGTTTTATGATGCCTGGTCATGTCTGAATGCTTAAATGTGACTTCTGCCTTGATTTAATTTAGATGCGTGCTTCAAGAAGGGAAAAACTACAATTACAGCTCTTCTCTTTTTTGTTGTTGTTGTTGTTGTTGTTTTAGGTTATAAGCTGTGGATGAGAGAATACATACCTGTATTTTAAATTTTCTTTTAGAGGTTTCTCCCTGCAAAACAGTTACCTGCTGGATTCTTTAAATATTGGGGATGAGCGTGTTTTACTTGAAAAAAAAAAATTTTTTTTGTTTTTTTTTTAAAGGTGATCGTTCTCTAGGTATAGTTTACCTGGGATTATTGTAGCTCTCTGAAAGGAAAACATGCTAAACTGTTCAGAAACGTTGGTTGGAAAATTGACAGCCACCATCCAGAAGAAAGACGGATGGCGATGGTCTGGTGCAGAAGTGAGCCCGTGGATGCTAATGGGCAGACCTGCGTCTCTAAACAAACTTAGAACTGTTCACTTGCATAGACAGATTATTTTTCCTCTGCAAAATATTTTGAGGGACACAAAATGAAGCTGAATTATCAGGTTCTGGCATTTGATAGATGGAATTGATATAAAAAAACTTTGAAAAAAAGCTGTACGTTTTATAATGCTAATGAGGTCTGTCAGTGTAATGATGGCGGGTAGGCAGTTCTCTTGGAGAAGCAGGAACTACATGTTTGCAGATATTGACAGTTTCTTATAAAGGTTGTGTTCATATGGGAAAATTCTACAAAAGAGCTTAAGCTAGAAAGTGAAAACAGGTTCATGGATATAGAAATTGTTTTACACATACTTCTGCGGAATGGCTCGAAATCAGGCTGGACATTTGTGCAAGTCTAGCAGGTCCTGGCATAGGTAGTGATTGGAATAGAAATAGGATTTTGAATTTACTGCCTAATCTAGCACTTAACTAGCATAATATGTTTTTGTTGAACTTTGGTTCTGAGAAAGGTGAATAACTAGTCCTCAGTGCCCCACAAGGGGTAAATGGGTAACGCTATGGTGATAGCTGCACACCTGGTGTCTTTATCAGGAAGTTTTTACTGCGGATGTCTGAGAATTATTTCCCAAGTGCTGGAAGCTGGCCCTCCTGTCTATTAAAACCACAAACGCGCAGCTTAAAACATGGAAGTGATCTGAAATGAAGCAGTTTGTAACAGGCTGAGGTATCCAGAGGTTTTGTTGATTACGCCTCAGTGATACGTTACATGATGGATGATTCATGTATGTATAGACTTGCAAGAATAAATAACATTTCAAACAAAGCACAACTTTCTTCTTTCCTAGAGCTCCGCTGTATTCCAGGGGAGTTTGCGTGTCGGAGTGGTAGCATCCAGTGCATCCCTTCAAATTGGCAGTGTGATGGCTGGCCCACCTGCGAGGACGAGAGTGATGAAGTTGACTGTCCAGGTAAGTAAAGCTGAGGAGATTGCTCATCCCACTGTCAGACGGTTTTGCAACAGTACTTTGACTCTTTAAGATTGCTTGTGTATTTCTGTTTGAAAGTAGAGATTGTTTGGTAGGACTATACCCATTATTAACAAACTTTGCGTTGGCTTCTCTTCATTTTGTGCAACTAATGCTACAGTTTTTTGCTCGTCTGAATTATCCTTCCATTCTTACAGTCTGAGTAGGTATCCTGGAGATGAGGAGAGTCTGTAGTCTAAATTAAAGAGACTTTCGTGACAAGGAAAAAATACATTGCAATTAAACTAAAATGACACATAGGCCTGTGGTTAAATTCGGAATTACTCTTTTGGTTGTATATCACTCAAACTGTATTGGGTGACATTGTTGGACTTGGGTAGAGAGCTTGTTTTATTTCTCCCTGTTCTGATTATGCTTCTTGTGCTTAAGTGGAGAATCTTTGTTCTGCTGTACGAGCTGGTGTATTTACTCTTCATAACCTCTTGCGATCGTACGCTTTCAGAAGCCTATCACCAGCAGTGGTTCTCGGCTAAAGCTACTGGAGACTGAGCTGTCTTTAAAAAAACAGCAAGCAAAAATTTTTGGTTGTGAATATATAATCACAATTTTGAACATTTGCATTAGTTCTTGACAAACGGGCCAGTGCAACTCTTTCTGCGTGCCTTAAAGTGAAGGGACCTATAAATTATTTTTTTTCTTTTTGCTAGCAACGATGCAGGACTCTGAAAGCATGAATTCAGCTGTGGCATAATTCAAAACTTCTATGTCTACAGTTGACTAAATTACATTCAAAAACTGTTTTAAGAAGTTCTTTGCCACTAAACTAAATTTGCTTGGGAGAGAGTCACGTGAACTTTGTCATCACAGCATTCAGTCTGTCATCATTCTCAGTTTTGAGCTATTTTAGAGACGTGCTACAAAATAGTAACATCGGTATTTTACAGCAACAAGCACTTCTAAATATTCCTATTTCTTAGTGGAAGCACAGAAGTAAATCTAACACCCAAACTTTGAAACTGAGCTATAGTTGGCCATCTCCCCAGTGTTTGCTACGCACAAATAATTAAAAGAATGTGTTCAGTGCTCTTTTTAGAAAGCTTTTGGCTAGTTTGTGTGAGTGTATATATTTGCAGCACAGGGGAAAAAACTGACAGTAGTTTCTTCTGACATCAAAAATTAAGCTGTGCCATTGATATTCTGTTTAAGGATGTTCTTTATGATGTGGATGTCCTAAAGAAAGATGCTTTTATAGTAGTGCTGTATTCTTCCTCCTTTTTAGCTAACTTTGGCCAAATGTGAAAAAATAGGGACCTAATAAAATTCTGAAGGTGTAATGGAAGTCAATGGCTAGGGGAAGGCAGAGTCGTGTTAATGTTTGGATCAACTCAAAGAGCACTGAAGGCTTCACTTGTGGGAATATTGGAACATCCACATGAGTAGGAGACAGTATTTCCATCTTCTCTTGTTGCCTAGTTTATTAGTCGGCACTTGAAGTTGTTGCATGGAGATTGCAACAGGACGATGTTGACTCAAGGACTGGAGTTACAAAGAATATTTGGTATATGGCTAGGAAGAGGTTTTTATGAAAGTAACATTTCTCAGTAGATAGGTTCTGCTTTTGTGTTTGGGGTGTAGGTCTCACTGGACTGTCTGGCCTGACACAATGAGAAGAACTTCAAGAAATGAAGAGAGATGTGTGGGAGAGACTTGGTTCATCGCCATGTCTGTTATGCAGGAAGAGAGTAACATACATAAAGAATAGTAGAGGGGAAAATGATGGACAGCATAGAGAAGGATACTATTCCACTTGATGAGAACAGTAATTGGATAAGTAATTGGTGAAAAGGCTGTGCTCGGTAAAACAGCCAGAAAGCTGGGTGTGGCATTTCTGAAAGAACTGGGATATTTGCACAGTAATGCAGGAGTGTAGCCAGCAAACCAGAGGAACAAGAACTACTGGTGTAGGATTTAAAAACTGTATTATACCTGTAACAAAAATTGGTGGGATAGCATTGTCACCTGAAATGGGCGTTGAAGGGCATGTGTTACTCAGAACTGTTGAGAATAAGGACAGGTTGGTGTGCATGTGAATGGTGTGCTGGAGTATAGAAAGGAATGGCATACATGAAAGTAAATCTGAGGCCAGAATAAGTTTGGAATAGCGCAGTTTTCTTACCTTGGGGAAAGTGAAACACACATGACCAGTCATAGGAGAGACTAAGTCCTGGGATGCTGATTAAGGAGCTAATGCTACTAATAATAGTAGCACGTAGTCATACGTCAGGAGTGATAACTTTCTTCTTTGGCCACTGAAAGAACAAGAAATGATGCAGCTTTAAATTTAGAAAATGCCTTTGTATTTAGATGAGCAATTGTGAGATGACTCAGCTAAATTTAAATACTTTTTAATTAAGGTTCTTAATTTCAATAAAGGCAGACTGAACACTAAAAGAACTAGTTAATGAAGCCATCTGGACTTGTGAAACTTGGAGAATTAAAATATTTTAAAATTAAAAGGTATGAAATCTCTCTGAAGCATGAAAAGAAAACTTGCAAGAAAGGGCTCTGGGTCTGGTTGGGAAGCTTGTTACTTCTCAGCCTTTGAGCTACTAATGGCACACTCCAATGTGAGCAGCTCGGAAAAGATCAGTGGCAGGGAACTAGGGTTTTGTGGTGATGAAGAAGTGTGTTTCAATGACTACTTAGTCATGTTGGTATTTTCAAAGTTTTAATACAAAGCCATTGTAAGTTATTTGGTGCTCTTGATTTAGTTCACCTTTTTTAGGTCTGATTTCATTCATAGTAGTAACAAAGCTCCTATTAGAATAAAAGGATCATTAATTAATAAATTAGTTTGGTAATTGTGTGTTTTCTGAAGTACAACAAACACCCCAAACCCTAAGACTTTTTTGTTAGAATAATTTCTTCTGGCTTTTTTTCAGAACACAGTTAGGTAAAACACTAATTAATTGACAATCTGAATAAGCGTATTAAATGCCTGGTTTTTCTAGACCATATATTTCTCTGAAGACAGTCCTTATAGCTGTTTTTATTCCTACTGTCTCTTTTCAGGATGACCATTTTCCTTTAAAACATGGAATTCCTTTCAGTCCCAAACTTGTGATGTGTAACGTGCTATTCCCCCTGCCCTTCTGACTCGGCACACAAACGTTAGTGGAATCTGCAGCAGTGCTTACCCTCAACTCATCTCTCTGGTAGACTAAAACTGTTGGCTGCTTGCTCTTGTGAGCATACTAAAAACTGCTGGGAGGGTTTACCTAGCGCGTGGCTGCAGCTCTCTGCTACTTAAGCAGTGGAGACTCGTGAAATTTGTGTACTGTTCCATATCAGCAGTAATTGATCCTAAAAATAGTTTATTCCACAGTGGTGTGTTCTGTGAAATGGTAGAAACAGGCATTAACATCTTAAACAGGGACTTTTACAAATGGGGATTTATTAGGTCCACTCACTTCCTCTTATGTTTCTATACGAGTAATCAAAGTAGTAACATAACTCTTCCACCTTTATAAAAGTTCTGTATTTAAACCCCTAAGAAGGAAGGGCTCTACAGTTTGCCTTTTACTGCTCATTGGATTTCCAGCTTTGCTTCTATCAGAGCATCAGATCAGCTTCCTCAAATATCCCACCTTCTTTGCAGGCCTTTTGGTCAAAACTCATTTTCAGCAGGTCGAGTGGAGCAGGATTTAGTACAGCTCTGCCTGTTTACCTGTTTCATTCTTATGCTACAGGCTTGGTATTTGTTTCTGTTACATGTGAATGGATGTCTTAAATTCCAGTGCCTTTCATAAATCCTACCCGTACCAGTTTTTCAGCTTGCAGTTATATTGGTGATCATTTCTGTTTCCTTCCTTCCTTCCTTTTTTTTTTTTTTTTTTTTTTTTTTTTTTAAAATGGAATTCTTCCCAGGAAGAAGTGATCAGATTGTGCTGTCAAGCTGTGCTTGGGCTTCTCTCAGCATCTGAATCTGAAAACCTTCAGCTCATCCCGTAGTGCACACCCTTGCCTAATGCCACATTCTTCCTCTTTAGGGTATTTCCCAGTACCATTTGGTCAGAAACAAGACCTGCTAGGTCAGACCTGCTTGGTCAGAAACAAGAACACTGGAAAGTTTCAGCAAGCTGAATTCTTGGGGTTTTTTTCCCGCCCTGAGCCTGAGGCCGCAGTCAGCGCTGGATAGCTGGCCCTCCTGGCAGCGGTGGTCCTGGGGCAGCAGTGGCTAGCAGTAGTATGAGCTGGCCTGCAGTTCCATGGCAAACAGGATGATTTTATATGGTTTTATGTTGAAATTGGGAGCCTAATTTCATACAGAAACAATCTTGCTAGGAAGCTAACTCTGAGTGCTGATTTTAAGCGATGTCATGTCGGATGCTGTTTGTAAGGACTTCCCCAGATCCTGTATCGGGAAGAAATGTGCAGACCAGGAGGTCACTTGCCCCAGCACCTACGTGCTGTATCACCTTTGAGTCTGCAAAGTCTCCTTTGAGGAGCCAGCTGAAAGGATGGCCAGTAACTGATAAAGCAGCAGCCGCAGCACACTGTTCTGCAGTGATCATAAACAGCTTTGTGTTTTGTTTTGCCAAGGATACTTGTGCGTGGTTGAAGAGACTGTGACACTTGTGCACTTTTTGGTTCATCTCCATTTTAAAGCTAGATAATAATGATAAAAACCTCTGATCGTTTCTATACCTTTTCTGAGCCTTTGCTGAACTGCTATATGATGCATCCTTTTTACCCTACTTCGTGGTGTTTAAATTATAAGCTCTTTACTGTCAGTCTTTTACTTTGAAAGGTGCTCAGCACGGCAGGATGCTGTTCTTGGCTGTCATTTATTTCCTAGTATAATACAATTGATAACGCAAAGCGTGGGGCTGCTTGATCTGAGAAGAATCACTCCTCTCTGGGGACTTCCGAACTGTATTTCCAAATCTTTAGGCACAAAATTGGATTTAATCCTGAAGTTCTCTCACCTCTCAAATTACCAGATGGAATTAAAAGCTTTCCAAGCTTTTTGTAGGTAATATGTTGGACGGAAAATTTGAAGCTTAGGGGACAAGGCAGCTTTTGATGTAAATTTTGAGAATCTATGTGTTTAAACAGGAGCAACTCAAATCTCTGAACAAGTAAGGTATGGCAAGACCTGGTTGCTTCGCAAACAGTTTAATTTTGACATAATTTGACATAGCACATCCATCCTTGTGAAGGGTTTGGCTTGAGTCACTTGCCATATGTGACACGGTTACTCTGGAAACTAGTTCAACTCCCCCAAATCCAGTGTTCACCCCTTTGAGTCCTGACCCTACAAGGACCTCTCTATTACAGTCAGTGCCTTCTGTCTGCCCGTCCTTTTTTTTGGTGCAGAGCAGACCTTGGCACGTGTGGCAGATTCCAGTTTCTCTTCTAGCTCCTCCGAACACAATTTTCCGTTTGGTGTCATGTTTGTTCCCCCATGTGGTGCTGCTCTGCACGCGTACGCTCTAGCCTGTTCCCATCTCAGCTGGTGCCAGCTCTCACTTTTGTGTGGTCTCGGCTCCTCGGCTCACGTTTCATTTGTGCTACTTGGCTTTTTGCTTCCTTTTACTTGGTCTGAATGCTGGAGGCACTGAGGGGGATGGAAAAGGAGCTTTCTGCTCTGCTTGTGTACTTGGCTTCCCCTGATGAGACACCACATGCAGAGAAAGCATTGCCGAGATCCCGTGGATAAATGCTGCAGAGTAATCTCCATGGATGTACACAGAAGAGTATGGACAACGTTAACTGAATTCCTTCCAGCCTCTGTGAATAATGGGCAAGCTCATATTTCTTTCAGACTTAAACTTGACTGCATTTGTCCCCTCTGTTTTTTCTGTGTCCCCAACAGGAACAGCAACACTTACACACATGGTACAAAGCTTTTTCTGTGAGTTAGCAGGGCTCCGTTTTGCAGGCTGCAGCGACAGCACCTGTTCAGCTAAAAGGTAGCTAGAAATGTAAGCAAAACTTCTTCCCCTTCCAATCTTTAAATTCTTGTTCTGAACAATTATTGAACTGTTTTGATTCGGATCTGAAAAAGTTTACCAATATAAAATGTAGTAGGAGCCATCCAGCGTGGCAAACTTCCATTCTGAATTGGTAGCTTGAAGTTTTAAACAATTGAAAATAGTCACGGAATCAGCAGGGTTGGGCAACTTTCTTGATGTATAGCACTAAGACTGTAATCGTGCAGGAGTGAATTAGATAGCAACTGTAAATTGGAAGGAGCTGGGGGAATACTAATCATGACTTGATCGATTTGGAAACAGATCGGAGGATGCTCGTGTCTACCATGCAACACTATGTGAGGGGAGGAAAAAAAATTGTGCCCCATGAATTCTTCCTTGAACCCTTTTTTTCCCTTTTCTCCACCAACTAAGAAGCAAACTACATTTCTGATATAATTGTATGAAGTCAAAGGAAACAGAACTATCTGTCTTGGCTAGTAAAAATACTACTGTTGCTGTCACGGCTTGTGGTCGTAGTATGTAGAAGAATAAAGGTTTTGGAAAATAGCTGATCTTCCAAAATTTGATAGCTTTCAGAGTATTAAGTATGCACATAAGCAATAAAAGTGATGGCTTTTCCTTTCTGAAACACTCAAACATGCTTAGGTTGTGATCTTCTGGCTTAGGTTGTTATCTTAAAGCTTAGTCTGTGGCACTGTTAATTTATTTTTAAAGATAAAAATATTTTTGTAAAGGAAGTGGGAACAGCAAAGTACATAGAAAATTCTTCTGTAGTGTGTTGAAAAGGTACAATAAAACCCCAGTCCAATTACACCTTTGCCACCCAGAATCTGCAACAGCTTTTCAGGGCAGCCAAGTGACTTAAAGGCTTGTTAGCATCTCTGTTGCCCTGGAAAAACTTGTCATCGTTGCTTTTCTCAGAGACCAAAAATTCAGGTCAAATAGCAGCAATTTAATATTTGAAGAGCACCAGTTTATTAAGCAGCTGATAGTGTTGGGCTTGAGGGAGAAGTGACTGGTGGTGGCTGCTTTCTGCCTCTGCAGTCCTGCCTGGTTTCAGCGGCGAGTCTGCTGGCACGGGCAGGCACCGAGGAAGGAGCGAGCGTCCTGCTTGAACTGATTGACCTCACTTTGTGTGGGATCTGTGTAGCTATTTTTCCAAGCATCTGGCAATAAATTTTGTCCATTTAAGATGTTAGCCCAAGTAACCCTTTCTTAACCTCGCATGTTAAGACCTGTGAACTTCTGTTTTGTTCCCCGGGTAGGTAAATTGTTAAGTCCTCGTGGGCGTTCTGTTTAGCCGTGGAGGGTCAGCCATATGGTGTTGCATCTGCTCTCACTTCTGAAAGGGAACTAATTCTTCTTGCGTTTGGTTCTTGCGGGTTCTTTGGGTTTAGTTGTTACCATTTAATGCCATGGGAAAATAGAGCTTCCCATGCTGAGCTCTGTTCATCTTTGATAAAGCATTCTGCATTAATTAACATTATTTTTAAAGTCTTACTGTAATTAAAGATTTGCCTTTTTAGTGTCTCAGTGTCGCTCTGAAAATCACAGTGTAAATACTGCTACTGAACCGTTAGGATTAAGAACAGTCAAATTCTAAAATTAAAAATAGATTGGCCTTTAAAGTAATAAAAAATAATCAGTGATCTTCACTGTCAAATTATTTCACCATTTTGTGTCCTTTGAAATGTACGCTAACTGAATTTCTTGGCACTAACATCTTGCCTGTGATAAATAGCGTATTCTAATATTGAACAGTAGAATTACTACTTTATTCCTGTAAGGCCATGTGAGTGTATTACGCACAGCCATTTCTTAATGGGTGATCTCTATAGACATGTAATTCCTAGGATAACGTGATAATTAAATATCCCTTGCTTATCCCATTAACCCAGGGCAAACTTAGTATGCTAGAGCCAGCTGAATGCAAAGCTACTCTGCTTTTCCTGGGCTCCAGCTAGTGATTTTTTTGCTCATTGGTGCCAACAGTTGTTCCAAGGAGTGTGTCGTCTGATGGTGGGTCTTCTGGAGGTCTTTCCCTCCAGGTAATACACTGAACAATCACCAGCTCTGGGTTTAAATTATCATGAAATTGCTATGGACCTCTTGCTTTTTAAAGGTAGTCTGAAAGGAGAAAGCTTTATTGACAGAGTTTTGAATATATTTCAAACAGATGTAGTTAAACCTGTTGAAGACGACTGTGTAGCTCCTCTTTATTGGGGACCATGACTGTTTTATTTGGTTTCGCTACGCTAAATAGAGCTAATCAGCTTTAAAGGAAAATAAGCTGAATTTTTTATATAGAAATGAATGTCTGCGTAGATCTTTGTGCTGGTTAAACTCTATTACATTTAACAACACCTAGTTACTATTAAATAGCATACTAGTAGATATTTCTAATGCTTATGTTCTTGGGTTCTTAATTTTTCTCTTTTTAAAGTTAATCCCTTGTTTCCAGGTTAATCTGTCTCGGTCCTCGCCTCCGCCTTTCTCAAAGGTTTCTCCCTAACACCGTGCCAGCCTTCCTACTTAGGATCTTGCTAGCTTTGCATCTCCACCTGAACTGTGCACTCCTTATTTACTCCTGGTAGGCATGTGGAGCCCCGCAGCCCCTTGTCCGGAATAATATCTTGCACTGTGTTCTTCCTAATTTACTGAATGCAGTTGTCATGTAGGCCTGTTACAAACCCTGACACCAAGGTGAGGGTGTGTATGTGTTTTTGTTTCAGAAATAATGAGCTAACATTTCCTTTAGAAGCTTGAGAGTGAATGAAAACCCTTGTTCTCCTGGCTGAAGATCGGTTTTCTTTCCTGGTTTTAATTTTGTCCTAGATCTCGGAAAATGTGTTGGAGAAGTGTCTTACCTCCTTGAACACACAACTGAGAAATGAAGCAGCTGGAGAGTGGGTAGTCCTGCAAACAGGAGCAGATAAAATGCGCTGGGGATGATGCATTTGCTGCAGCAGTTGAAATGATGAACATCAAGTCTTGTGTACAACTGCAGGCTGTTGAGAATCTGCCAAAATATTTAGCTTACTCTGCAAGACTTGTGTAATGGCTTGTTGGTTCTTTTCAATTGTAGGTATTTTGGTTACGTACGGTGTAAAATGGCCAAGCTGTTATTGCAGGGATCCACCATCTTTGTTTACCTGACTATGTTACTTATTATATATGTCTTGTATTGAAATACAAAGAAAGTTTAATAAAATTGAATCTGTCTTTGCTTGCATCTTTCACCAGTACTGACTGTTCCTTCTGGTCCCCAGGCTTGACAGGGGACCAGCGAACTTACCATGGGAAGGAGAATGTGGACTCCAGGCACAATCGAGGGAGAGGAGGAGAGACAACCCGCTTTCACACTGTCAATGTGGCACAGCCGGTCCGATTTAGCAGTAAGTTGCAGACTGGGAAATCTGGGCCAACTTTCTGCTAATTAATTTAGCAATTTAGGCTATTTTTTTTTTAAGGGAGAAATTAATGAGATTTTTCTCTTGCACAGCTTCTTGACCAGGTTTTAGTCACATGCAATGCTTTTTAAGGCTTCTGTACATTTCTTCTATATATGTCCTGTTACATTGCAGAGTTTATGTAGCAGGCCAATACATGCAAAGAATTCTGCTTCCTTAGTAATCCTGTTTTTCTGAAACCAGAATTGCAATTTTCTGTTATAACTCATTGCAATTACAGAAGACTAGGCCCGTGGTTTAAGTGGTGGTTTCAGCCTGCAGCAGGGGTGATAGTCTAGCCCTTGTCTCTTGGTGTGAGCTTGTATGTAGGATTGTTCCCCTGGAAAGTGGAGGGAAACCAAAATTGATTGCTCTTGATTGAAGTAATTTTGAAGATGATCTTAAAGATGTTGCGCTGTTATTAGTTAATTAAGTACATCTCAGATGTTGTAAGTTTTGTATCCTTTTTAATAGGAAAAATACCCTTCAGGGAGTGGGGAACTTAAGGGAATTCTTCACTTGCTTCTCTGAAGACAAAGTCTGTCAAGGAAGTATGTAGCACTTAGAATCATAGAATCGTTTAGGTTGGAAAAGATCTTTAAGGTCATCGAGTCCAACCGTTAATCACTTGAATGGCTTTTGCCATCAGTCAGTCAGGAATCTTCAAAAATATCACTTCCATGTCAGCCTACCCTCTCACTTGGAGCCCTGCTAGTGCCACTGTTGGCATTCTAGTCCTAGCCTTATTGAAAGCGTTCAAAACGTCCTGCAAGTGCCCTCCCTGCTGATCATAGCGACTGCTGCCTCTGAATCTCTCCAGGCCCAAAACACCTAAGCCTTCTCCCTCTTATTGTGGTTCCCTCTTTGCTCCAGGGATCACCCAGTGCTTTGGGAACGTGAGACAGCGCTGATTAGCCCTTGAGGGAGGGATGGGACAGGTTAGGAAGAGGACATGGGGGGAAGACAGTATGGCAGTAGTTGGGAATGATTGCTTTGGACTATGGTGATCTGAAAAAAACAAGTGATTAGCAAAAGTAAGAATTCACCTTTGGTTTGTTTTTTTTTTTCTTGAGGACAAAAATGCTTATTATAATAGGTATTTTGATTTGTCATGGATTCTGGTAGCTAAATTATGTTAGTAGATTTAAAGAGGACAGTAAAGCAATTTAGAAATTGATACAGCAATATCTAATATGCTCTGCAGTCTGATTGATACTGTATTCTGTCCCATTGTAGTGATGCAAACAGTAGATCTTAAAAGACCCCATATAAATGGAGAATAAGCAAAGATATTAAATTAAAGGGCTTCAAATCTAAGTTTGTATATCATCATTTGATGATAAAGTTCACTGTTTGTGAAGGGAATAAAGAGGCTTAAGAACAGGAACTCTGCATGCAATGAACATAAAACAGTTTGGGAATTTCAAGTTCCTTTCTGAGTCCTGTGCAAAATGCAGGTGCTAAAATCTTATTTTATGTCTGTTTTAAACATCATCTGCCTGTCTCTGATTCTATCTATTAGTTACCCATCACCCCCAAGAATGCCAGTCAAAAGCTTAGGGGCTTGTTTCATCCAGAAATGCCTTGAGGCTTTTGTTGGATATTCCCTCAGTTGAGTTAATTGAGAGAAAGCGGAGACAGCAGTTCACACTATCACCGTCCTAATTCCTAAAGATCCACTTTGCAGTGATATTTTTTCCAAAGCAAAGAACAGTTGCCTCCGAACCCCCATCATCTTTAGTGATTGACAATGGGAGCAGGATTATGTGAATACTACTGAGACTGCTTGTAAAAGTAGGTTGAAAACTTCACAGCAAGTTGGATGTATTGCTAACCACTTAATAGAAAGACAAAGCCATTAAATTGGCCACCTCTGGTTTTTTCTTCCTGCTTCTTGCTGCCTGTTTTGACTTGGATTGATCGAACTGATTGGATTTATAAAGATGTGCAGGGGAATATTGTCCACAGTAGATCATCAGTCTTAATTAAAGACTTTAAAGGCTGTCACAGTACAATGAAACATTACTAGGAGTTGCATCTTTTTAAATACATTTAAAAAAAAAAACCTGTATCAAAAACTGTATTAAAGCAAATCTGTGATCTGTAATGCATGCATCTCTTCCTGGTGAGGTGAAGAATGCACGGTACATTGTGCGTACACATCCAAGTGGTTATGTATTGCATTGTCATGAACTGATTAGGATGCATTATCTTGAAGATCCTAATTTGGGGGGAATGGTTTCCCTTCTATTCTTCATGTTTCCTAGGAAAGTGCCCAACAGGATGGCACCACTATGAGGGCACAGCCAGCTGTTACAGAGTGTATTTAAATGGGGAGAACTACTGGGACGCCGTGCAGACATGTCAACGGGTGAATGGGTCCCTCGCCACCTTCACTGCAGACCAGGAGCTAAGGTTTATCCTGGCACAAGAGTGGGACTTGGAAGAAAAAACATTTGTAAGGAAGGACCAGCGTAGGTGAGTAGGAAGGAAAGGACAAAGATCTCGTGTTACATGAGAATGTTTTCTGTGTGATACAAATGCTGGTAGTTCAGTTTGCTTAGAAAATCTAATGGTAAAATTAACTTCCGGTTAAGAACCCAGTCTGGCCATGGTGCTTGACTGTTTGGCAGTGACCAATCCGTATTGCATGTTTTGATTAACATTAACAGGTAGGCTACAATTCAACAGAGTCTTTTTTTTCTCCAGGCTGTCTCGGCAATGTACTAGTATTCTCGAACGGCAACAGGGAAGACGGCTTTTGCAGTGACTTACTGCTGCACTGCCTTGTATAGAAACAATTCTTTAAATTTTTCAACAGAATTTTTGTTTCCATTAAATACCAGTAGCTCTAACAGACTGCCAGTTTGAGATAAGAATGAAGTGAAAAGCCATTTTAAGTTGCAAGAACTATGTTCTGGTGGCTTTAGATATTTCTTTCTGTTTGTTCACAACAAACATAATTTTATTTTTTTTTTTTTTTTTTTTTTTTTGCCTGTGGGGTTTTTGTCAGTCTCATGGGCTGCCATGACCGATCGCCAGGAGTGGTTCAGTAATGATGTATCTCTGTCTCTGGGGAGTTAGATGGCTTGATCTGGAACAGTCTGACAGTATATGTTTATAAAATACTTGACTTTTGGATGCTTTTGTGTGGTTTTTGGGTTTGAGATACAAGTGCTGCCATACCAACGGAATAAGGTGCTGCTTATGAGTAGAAATAAAAGATGCTGTGAGTTATCATTTGTAAACATAGAAAACTATCAAGTACTTTCCTCTATTCCTCAACTGTGGTCTCTCTGCATAGCCAGCGTGTGGGCTGAAATGTTAAGGAAAAAATCATCAGAATGCTTTGAAAGTTAGCTTTTAAGTATAAAGACATTGGAAGGGTTTGTGTAATTTATTTTAATTTGTTAGTATGTTTTTGGCTTGTATCTTTAGAATCTAACTTAATTATTTTTGTAGGTTCTGGGTTGGATATCAGTATGTGATCACCAGTCGAAATCACTCTCTAGAAGGTCACTGGGAAGTAGCTTATAAAGGTAGGCCTCTCAAATTATTACTGAGTTAAATGGCCCGTGGAAACTGTCTTAAAGCATGAATATGATTTGCAAGAACAGCGTAACTTATTTCGGTGATAGTGTTGAAATAGTGCAGGGGAACTGCTTTGCTTTACAGTGTCAAAACAGGAGTTTAATACTCAATACACATGTTTTCAAGTGTAAGAAGCTTCATGGTTTTTCACATTGACATGTTGTGGAAAGAACGTGTTTTTCAGTTTATTCGTGCTTTACCCTTGATTAAGCTGAGAAAAAGGAAACTACTCTGTAGTTTCTCATTCTTTGCGGTGAATGTCTAGATGAACTACTGACTCCTGATTATAGTAGTTGCATAGACTAGCGTAGGATATTTGGGGGTTTTAGCTTTTTAAAAATTAGTAGATTTTTATATACTTAACCTTGAATTTTGCAGAATTACTCAGGTTTTTTTTCATTTTAAAGTACTTCAGATAGTTTACTTAAACCACGGCAGAATTTGCCTAATCCCAGAAATAAATCCCAGTTTATATGGAAAACTGAACGCTAATCTGATAGGCATCACTGGCTGAACTTTTTCAATTGCAAACCAAACAGCTCCCTCTGCTGAAAATGCAAAGTTATGCTTCTATACCTTTTATTTTCAACTAATTAACTTGAGAGATTAGTGATTAGTTAATCTTAAAGTCGTTATATGAACTCTTATGTGTAGAAATGAATGTCTAAATGCTGTACTGGTTTAGGTAATGGAAAATTTAAACCAAAGATGGTTTTTGTAAGTATCAGCACTGACTTCCAGTGTAGCATTTGAAAACTAATCTGAATAGTTATTTTCTTCTCGTATACAATTTTCAGTAATGGAAAATCTGGAAGGAAAGCTGTCCATTAGGTACAGATACGTAATTATGAACAGAATTTTGCTAAACAGCTGAGTCTTGAAAAAATACTTCCTTTGACACATGAGAAGTAGTAGAACCCTGCATAGCTTTCTAATGGCGGTATTTGTCTACTGTGCTCCCATGCACAAAAATACTGATTTCTTTTGTCCTTTAAGTGAACAGAGTTGAGTGAATATTCAGAGGAAATTGCTCCTTCTTGTGAGGCAGGAACATTTTCATTAGTTCCTTAAAGTAAAGCACCTAAGGATGTCTTCGGACAGCAAGGGAAAGGGAGGGAGGAAAGTCCAACTTCTCATAATAGGGATTTCTGGACAAAACTGATTATATAAGTAGATTTCTCCTGTGAAGCTGAAGAAAAAAAATTCTCCTTAAAAGGACCTTTCTTTGCTATTTGGAAAGTTGACTGTACTGCCATCTGCTGACACACTCTTTACAACCAGGGAGGCATACCTTGTAGAAAAATCATGACTTTTTTTTTTTATCATAAGTCTTATTTAATTTAATGCATTATATAAATTTAAGCCTTCTCTATACCATGTATTCTTGTTCGCAAGCTTTCTTTCTAATAAAGGGATACCTCTGTGAAATAAAGTACAGAGTAGTACACAGTAGCATTCAACAGCTTCTGAAAAGCTTTACTTAAGCTTCATTGACTTGTAGTGAGGCAGACTCTGAATTCCTAGTATCTGTTTGAAAAGTGATTTAGGGTCCTGTGGCTTGGAAATTTTAATCCATTATGGGACATGTGGAAGGTGAGTCCTCAAAAAAATGATAGCAGAACCTAGTTGTACTTAAAAAAAAAACAACAAAACCCATCATACCTGACAGTGTTTGAAAGGACCATCGTGTGAGAAGACTGTGTAATATGCTAACTGCAAGAGCTGTTAAAATCGGTGTTTAAGCACACAGATTTGGAAAGTAGGCTTCTGAAAACATGTAAAATAGGCTACTTTTTAGAATTGCTGTGTCTTGGTCTCCCATTAATCTCTGCAACTTTGCATACCAGCAGATTTAATGGTGGAGCAAGACACTGGTCAGAAACAACGATTTTAAAAGTTACCAAATGCCCTCAACACCTCTTGCACTCTTTGGAGCCCATCACGATATAGTCTCTTAACAATCGTGTGAGCTGGAAGGACCAAGTAGTCCATACCACCACTACAGCAGCAGAAGCGGCGTTGCAGCCGCACCCTGCTCTGGGTGAACCTGCTTTAGCAGGAGGGTTGGACTAGATGATCTCCCGAGGTCCCTTCCAAGCCTTGCCATTCTGTGATTCTGTGTGATTCTGTGATTCTCTGCGTAGCACTGCTCTGCGCTCTGAATGAGCGGCACGAGACGTGGGGGAGCGGCTCTGCAGTGCGCTGCACAGGGTAGATGCACACACATCTTTGGAAGTACTAGGAGGTGCTTGGAGTGCCGGCTGCAAGATTGGTATGGGTTCTAGCTCCACTAGTAGCAAGAGTGGCCAAACGCACCGTTGTTTCAAGGGGTGCATAACTACTGGCAGGCAAAACCCCGTGGGACTCTGGAAAGCAGCACTTGTAGAGATATCAGAGCATCACTCCTGCTGGCACAGAATGACAAAATTACCCAGTACTTTGAGAACAGCAGCATCTTCTCTCTGTGAGTCACCCCTTCCCTCCCTGCTGTTTGCCTTCCCCCGGAGGAATGTTGCTAATGGAAGCTAAAGCTAGAGGACAGTAGCCTTGTAGCAGAGTTGGTATGCATGAAATGAGTGACGCTACAGAGCCTTTCTAAAGCTTTGCATACCCACAGGCTGCTTATACCAATCCATCTTGTTCTAGGCTCTTCAGAAGTATTTTTACCCCCTGACCCTATCTTTGGTACGGCTATGTCTGAAAATGAAAACGTTCTTTGTGCCCAGCTTCAGTGTTTCCATTTTCCTACCCTTCGGCACCACGGTTTACACAGCTGGTATGCTGAAAACTGCTATGAGAAGTCTTCATTCCTCTGCAAAAGGAGTAAGTTGGTTTTAGCACAGTGTTAACTGTGCTGCATGTTTAAATATGCATATAACAAATGTGGGGAAATTAGTTATCCTTTCTACCTTTTGCCCAGTGAATTGGGCGGAAAAAAAAAAAGGAGGGAGGGGGAAGTTAAATTTCTTCTTGGTTTAAATAAGAGCATCGTAATGTGTGGTTGTCAGCCACGTACAGATTTTCGCTAAAAAATGATTGTTAGGCAGCTATATCAGCCCCAAAATAAAGTAAAAAAAGAAAAAAAAAGTTTTAAAAAGTGCTTCATTATAAATATCACTCTTAAATTATTAACTTCATATGAAAATGAGGCAACACTTATTTCTGGTTTATTTTGCATATAGCAAATTCTATTAAATTCTTTCCAGCCAATTGTTAGAACTACAGGGGGGGAAAAAAAGCAAGTGGAGCTATTGACATAAAGTTTAAAAAAAAAAAAAAAAAAAAAAAAAAAGCTTTCATTTTGTATCTTGCATTTCTTCACTCCAAAAGGCTTTATACCAACAGAGGTATTGGCAGTATTTTCAGGTAATATTTAAGATACCTGATATAGATGGTGCTTCTTTGTAAGAAGGAGAAAAGTTGTTCAACTTCTACTGTAGTTCTTGAAGTTTTTTCTAGTTTGCTTTTTCTTTAAAGCAGAAAAAAGACTTGCAGAATGCCATAGGAGGAAAATTCATCCCTTCCTTGCCTGCTTCTGCACCTGAAAAATGGAAAATTAGGAAGACAGGATATTACCTGGTCTACCTTGAGGTGTAATAAGATCTTGGAATCTGATGTTGAAGGACATGTGTTTAGTCAAAATGATGATCAAAAGATGGTCATCTTTTGGTCATCTTTTCAGGATGGTGTTGTAAGAAAGGCGATAGCTCTGCCAAAACGTTAACCAGAGGGTGAGGGTGTCAGATGTGTAAGTTGAGCAGAAGAATGATGCGTCCAGTTTTGGGGCTTGCGGTGCAAGAGAAGTGTTGGCAAGACCTTTACAAATTGAGGCGAGTTCAGTGGGGGCCAGCAAGATGGTGATGTGGGCTGAAACGCCTGTCCTTCAAGGTGAGGCAGTGGGAAATGGGGCTCCTTCAGCCTGGAGAAGGGAAGGCTTCCAGGGAACCTGATAGCAGCCTGCCAGGACTTCCAAGGTTATCAGGAAGATAGAGCCAGGCTCTTTACAGTGGTGCATGGCAGGAGTCGAGGGATGTTAGGCTGAAACAAGAGATTTGAATTGATGCCAGGGAAAACTGTTTAATCGCGAGGGCAGTCAAGAGTGGAACAGACTCCCAGGGAGGTTGTGTGGCCTTTGTCCTCGGAGGGTTTTATGACCAGATTAGATAAAACCCTGAGCAACCTGTTGGGATGTCCTAGCTGGCCCTGCTTTGAACTGGAGACCTCCTAGGTCTCTTCAGTCTGAACTTCCCTGTGGACCCTTGCAGCTGACCTGTGCGTAGGGTGGTAGGGACAGACCACCCTCCCTAAGCAGTTGCTTCAGCTGACGGGTCCCAGTGGTGTCTGTGTTCCCTCTGGGGTTTTGGTACTTGCTGTTAGGTCAGAGGAAAGGACAGTGGACGGGAGACGCCTCTACTTCCTCTGCTGGGCAGGGATCAGGATGCAGCTAGGGCAGTGGAAGTATCATTGCTTGGCTTCCATTTTTAGGCCTGGTCTGTTAAAAGTGTCCTTCAGGTTTGGCCCGGAGAAGATCCAGCTTTTCCTGCATACCAGGAGACAGGGAGGGAGCTGCAACAGGCATTGACAGTGAAGCTTAAACTGCTCAGACCACTTGCTTTCCTGTGTCTTGGAGAGGATGCCTGACAGTGTGTCAATTCCATTAAATAATAAATTCACTTTGTCAGTTTGGAGTGGTAAATCATCCCTGCGTGCCTCCAGACTATCCATTATCTTCCCCACTCCTTGGAGATTCCTTTTCAAAGTTGCTTTAATGTGAAGGTGTGGCTTTTAACTGGTGGCCTGCTTATATTTACAAATCACTTAATGTAACAGAATAAACTGGGCTCCTGTCTGGCAGGCTCACAGATATTGGATATTGATGTGTGTTTCTGTTCTAGGCCAGACTTGTGTTGATATCAAAGACAACATTGTCGATGAAGGCTACTATTTCACTCCAAAAGGGAATGATCCCTGTTTGAGCTGCACATGTCACAACGGCGAACCCGAAATGTGCGTGGCTGCGTTGTGTGAACGGCCTCAGGGGTGTCAGCAGTATCGCAAAGACCCGAAGGAGTGCTGCAAATTTACATGTTTAGACCCAGGTAAGAGTTGACTGTGACAATTTTGTCAAGAAAAATGAGTTCTGTGCTCAACTTGGATTATCTTTGGATGTAACTTTGTTTGAAATGATGCATCCTTTCAATGCCTCAACATTGCAGGGTACAATGTCCCCGTTGGGGAAAGATCTCGAATCATGGGATATGAAACACTTCAGACTGTGGCTACTAGTAATTAGTCATCCTTGATGCTACTCGTATAGGAGAAGCAGTAGCTTATTTTCTGTATGGAGGTTGACACTACTGTGGATTTTCAGTAGAGTGTCTTGCATGGTTCCTTTGTTATGTTTAGTTGTCTGAAAAGAAAAGAATTTTCTCTTGAGCACTAATTAAGCATCTTTATCTGGACATGAGCAGTTATGTGTGTGGAAGTTTGCATGCAGGGATCACGTGGGAAGCAAAGTTTATAAATTGTATAGAATTTCAGTAATAATCAGGACATGCAACCTTGCTTATTCGATTTGGCATCTCAGTGCAGCTCTTTATTTTGGATCAGTAAAGTCTTCAGTTGATTCCGACTGAACTGTTTGTCAGTCACCATTTGGAGATGTAGATCTTGGGGGGGGGGGTTATTTTTCTGTGAAGAGACTTGCAAAATGGAATGTATCTTACTTGGAATTTACTGTGAAGGTGGTCAAATACTGGAGCAGATTGCTTGTGAAATCTCCATCTGTGGGGATATTCAGTGCCCAATTGGACTCTTGTCCTGGGCAACTTGCTCTGGCTGACGCTCCTTGAGCAGGGGTTGGACTAGATGATCTCGGGACATCCCTTCCAACCTCAGCCATTCTGTGATACTGTTATTTCCTGGTATTTTAAAAGAACCTAAACTATTGTTCTGAACTCCGGGGTTCAGAACATGGGTTCATCAGATGGGTCAACTCTTCCCATCAGAGACTTCTGTTTCAGTCTTACAAAAAGGGGTGCTTATTTGCTTTCGAATTTGCAGTCTTTCTTACTTGTCTTAACTACAGAAGTTAATCATTAAAGGCCACTGGCTCCTCCTTGCTGTCATTCACATTCATTCTGAGGGTTAAGTTTGACACATGTTCATAGCTGGTGTTGCAGGTTGGTCAGTGAAAGAGCAGAGAGAAAGTGGGAGTCTTCCTCCCACTCTTATCAGCAGAGTTAAGGCTTTGTTTTCACTTCTTTTATCTTCAGGAACAGTGTCAGGAAAGCATCATCCAGCAGACAGGATAAGATGACCTGGGATAACCTTGTGCCGTGTTGTTTAATCCTTGCTTATTGCTGCAGGTCTTCACTATTTCATGAATACTGATTTGAAGAGTGCATTTTACCACATCCTTTCTGATCCTTAAGCTCTTCTTTCTGTACTGACACTAAATAAGACTGTTTCATTATACTCTTGCCTGAAGTGTTCTGGTTTTTTTAGTAACTTAGTTTTTGAGAGAAGAGTCATCAAGCAGTTGTCAGACTTCCTTCATAATGAAGTTACTTCAGCTAGTGATATGAAGCATTTCAGTTTTCCTTCTGGGTGTTTATAAATGACTATTTCAGATGACAAAATTAATGAATTACTTTCTTTAATCAGCATGTATTTATCTTTGTCCAATTCTTACGTATCTCTTCCCTAAGCTCTGTTGCAAAGGAAAGAAAACCGTTTACTAATCAACAGTAAGCAAATTAATCACCCAAGGAGAGACCGGGAGGAAATAAATCCTGCTGTTGGGTTGGCAGGTAATCAGCTCTTGCAGTGTGAGTGGGTGAGCAATGATTACAAGTGGATAACGAATATTTCTCAAGGACTTGGTAGTAGGGGAATTTTTCAGTGGTAGGAGTAAGCTGAGCAATCACAGCTATACTCTCTTGAAAGATGCTTCTCCTCATTTAGTTGAAGATAAATAGCAGAGGAAAATCTTTCATGTACTAATGCTGAAACCGAGGCAGTCCGTTTATTGCTGCTCCATGGATGTGGTAGAAAATAATTTTTTCTGTGTGGCTCTTGTGTAGACAGACCTGCAACTCTTATTTGTGAAAAGGTAATAAAAGAAGCAAAATACTTTGAAAGAGCTGGTAGTGCAGAAGCTTTTCTAGTGCCTAAACCGGTGCAGTTACAGGGTACTACTACTGTATTGAGTGTAAAACAGCCTTTCTGAAATAATCTATTTGTATTTGTGTGGGTTGGATATCTGTGGTGACTTACCCTGTTCTGTACAAGCTGGGTCTCTGTCTTTCTTTTTAATCTAGGACTTTACCTGACAATAGTTTATCCAGCCAAACAGGTTGAACGTTAGGAGCTCTCGAAGATTGGGAGCAGTGTGGTAGAGGCGCAAGACACCCCAGAAGGTCCGAGAACTGCAGTTGTAGCTGGCCTAAAGAGAATACGTGGAAGTCAGGCTTTCTGCCTACAAGATTGCATCATGCTTGCCTGTGTGTACGTTCTACTTCAGTTGCTTTATTTAAGGCAGTTATTAACAGTAATTTATGACGTTCGTGAAGTCAGCATTGCCATAAAATGGAGGAGGAACAACGACAGGTCTGTTGCGTTCAGGAGGGCGTGCTGGTTGGGTAGGTGTGTGACTGCATCGCTTTAAGCTCTGACAGTAAGAGTTGCTAAAAGGTTTGACAGCACAGAGGCTTTTGTACTGCACAGCCAGATTTGAGAGGGTGTAGTGTTCGAGCTCTATGCATAGTGCACTATTAAATGAATTTCTTGTTGCCAAGAATGCATTACGTAATAAATACCAGCCTGTTAGCCATATACTTCAACGATGTATAAATCAGGTGGATTTTTCTGTTACTAGCATTTGTAGCAAGTCAGTACTTACAACTTCTGTGAGGTTTTTAGTTTTCTTTTGTTAAGGAATCCTTGAATCTTTTTTCTTTGTGTGGAGTATCTGTACGTGCGCATGCTACATGAGCATAACCAAGTGTGATCAGTTGAACTGTGAAAAATTAATACCTCTCATGCCTGGCACTGGTAGAACAGTGACAATTTACTCATAGCAGCCTTCCAAGTGTGGATCTGGTTAGCAATAGTCCCAAGCTCCTCAGTCTGTTTCATGTTCTGCCACTTGCTTCCTATGTGATTCTAGGAAAAGATTTAATTCCTGTTTACCTTAATCTCTTCAGTTCCTGAAAGATGATTATCCTGTTGATTCACTTTCTTAAGGTATTTTTAGTTCCTATCACTTAATAGCACTAACCAATGTACCATTGACGTGGGGAATTTAGATGACCACATCTTGGTGATAATGACAACGTTCAGAGATTTTTGCTGTTGGAAATGTAAAAGTTAAGATGTCCAGAAGTCATGTGGAAATAGTGAAATAGTGTGTAGATCTGCCCGTTCTCAGGCTTTTGGAGCAGTTGGAGCAGTTCGTGGAGGGCTTCTCCTGTGAGAGAGACCCCACGCTGGAGCAGGGAGGAGTGTGAGGAGTCCTCTCCTGAGGAGGAAGGAGCGGCAGAGATGGCGTGTGATGAACTGACCCCAACCCCTGTTCCTCGTCCCCCTGTGCCACTGGAGGGGGAGGAGGGAGAGAAATCAGGAGTGAAGTTGAGCCCGGGAGGAAGGGAGGGATGGGGGGAAGGTGTTTTAAGAGTCAGTGGTTTTTATCCTCTCCTGCTCTGATTTGTTTGGTAATAAATTAAACTAATTTTATCAAATTGAGTTGGTTTTGGCCATGACAGTAACTGGCGGATGGTCTCTCCCTGTCCTTATCTCAACCCATGAGCCTATTGATATTTTTTTCTCTCCCCTGTCCTGTTGAAGAGGGGAGTGGTAGAGCAGCTTTGGTGGGCACCTGGCGTCCAGCCAGGGTCAACCCATCACATTCTGAAACATGGAAAAATGTTAAACTAGGCCAATGAATATCCACTCTGTGTTTATCTCTCCGTTACCGTCAGAACATCATCATGAAAAATGAGTTTTGAACAAAAGTAATGCCTTCTTTTATATGTTTCATGTAACAGATGGCAACAGTTTGTTTGACTCGATGGCTGGTGGAATGCGTCTGATTGTTAGCTGCATTTCTTCCTTCCTCATCCTCTCTCTGCTGCTTTTCATGGTCCACCGGCTACGCCAGAGGCGGAGAGAGCGCATAGAGTCTTTGATTGGAGCAAATTGTAAGTAGCCTATATCTGTAATGAGTCCTGATCTAAGTAGTGTATGTGCTTCAGAATAAAGAGAGTAGAAGAAATACAAATCTGTGGAAAACGTCCGTGCCTGAACTGGTCATGATTTGTACAAGTTTTGGTTCTCCAAACCCCTCCACATTGAAAGAAAAAACTTCTATATCATCGCCTTGTGCTTCGTGGTTATTATTGACAGATTGATGTATGTAAAGCTGAGAAATGTCATGGTCTTGCTTGACTGTGCCTCTCTGTGTCTGTGTAGGTTCTTCAAACTTGAACTCTTTTAGCTGATAATGGAAAAATACTTGTTTATATGCGGTCCAAATTGGAAATATCTTCTATGTGTGAATGATCTCCTAAGTTTGAAGAGGTTAGGTTCAAATTTAGATGTGGTGCAGGACAAAAAGGCTTGGGAGCATGTGGGCCTGGGTATCGTTGTGTAACTGCAGTGAGTTGACTTTTTAGGTCTTCAGGAGACATGGTTCCTTGGGTGTGTAAAGTGGAGAAAGGTGTTGAGGTTTGCCTTAAATTGAAGAAGAAAGCATGGGATAAAGTAATTTACTTCTTTTTCTTCTCTTGAAATAGTGCACCATTTTAACTTGGGCCGCAGGATGCCTGGTTTTGATTATGGTCCCGATGGTTTTGGAACTGGCCTTACTCCACTGCATCTTTCAGATGATGGGGAAGGTGGGGCATTTCATTTCCATGATCCGCCTCCACCCTATACTGCTTACAAGTATCCAGATATTCAACATCCGGATGACCCACCTCCTCCTTATGAGGCTTCTGTCAATCCAGACAGCATCCTTTGTTCCACTCCAGGTATGCAGGCAGTAACTTCTCTTTTCTTCTTCTTTTTCAATTTGGCTGGAGGGTAGATTTTTTTGTTTGTTTGTTTTAAATTATAATAACGTGCTTTAATGACTGTGTTGGGAAAATATATTTAATGATAAAATCTCTTAGTTCTGCGATGGAAAAGTCTTTTCTTAAAATGTATCATTAAGCTTGTTTTTTCTCAAAGGTTCTTTGGATCACCTAAATTGCAAGTGGAATCCACACTGCAAGCAGTTTAACTCTTAGACCTTACCTATTTTCAAGCCTTACCTTGGATGAGTTACCTTGTTGCCTAGTTTCCACTATGCTGGTACCTTTTCTGGTCTTTTGGAGATAGGTCTATAGAGACTGGTATTAAAAAGTAGAAGAAATATCAAGTACAAGAGATTTTGAGTAAAATGCATCCAGTGTCTTCTCTCTTCCCCACTTCCCCCACCCACACCCCCCAAAAATTGACCAAAAATATCACTTTCTAATGATTCACCCAGCGCTCTTCAGTTTTTTTGCAGCTGCGATATTCGCATACTGTAGAAATCGTTCCAATTTGGGATTCTATAGCAGCATATCTCACAAGATAAGTGAGCCTGATTAGTGCAACTATCTTATTTATACATCCAAGTTTTATTTTTGCTACATAATTTTCCTCTTTTGCAGTGTCATCTCTTTGTGCATTAATGCACAACCAGGAAAATATAATCTTCCAGAAATACAGATAGTAAATCTATTTGGGAATGTGAAATGATAGGCTTCACGTTCTGATTCTGCTTGGTTTTTTGTCCTTTGCAGATGGAGTTCTTTCTCAGACTGTGCAAAGCAGTCCTCCATCACTAGGAAACTGTGATGTATCCCCACAGCTTACAGAGGGATCGCTTCCTCCCTCAGTTGGGCCTTCTCCAGTGGAGCTGGAAGACTCTGCTGACAGCAGCACCTTTCTTGTCCCTCCTGACACACCGCTAAATGAAAACACTCCGGCAGAAACTCTTACGGGCAGCCGTCACAGCCACTGTTCTCTCAACACCATTGTATAAAGGAGTAAAAAGCCGACTGCCGGTCAGAAATAGTTTTAGCAACTGTTTGCACAGACAAACACTAATCCGTGGTTGGAACTTCAGAAGGAATCTCCACTTTGTTTTTTGAACACTGCTTTTATGTTCTAGATTAGGATTGTCCCTCTCGTTTTTTGGCTGTCGTTATTCATTCACTAATCAGTTTGTCCTGTAAATATGGATTGTATAACTGCTCTTTTTTTCCATTGGTTATGGAAAATAGTGCAGAGAATTCCTTTGACTTCTGAGGAGGTGAAAAGTATGGGTAGGTTGTGGTTTTTTGTTTGGTTTTTTTTTTTTTTCTTGACCTGAGAGGAAACAAAATTACATCAGAAAAAAGCTGCTTGGATTTGGCTGGATACCACTGGATCCAGGGAACAGACGACGGAGAAGGAGGGTGGGGGCAGTTGCCATTCGATCAATTGCTTTCTCTCTTGCTTCAGTGCTACACTTGGAAAAGGCTGAGAAGACAGAACTGCAGGGGAAGGGGCTGTGGGGGCCTGTTTTACAGAGCGGGAACACTGAGGAGCTAAAACACATGCCACCAAGTAAGAATTACACAGTATAAAAAAATCTGCGTGTTTTGATCTGCTTTGCTGTTTCAGAACACCGTAGGGACCGGAGGATGAATGACCTACACGATACGTGACGAGCGGGTACTACGAAAACCAGGATTTGCAATTACAATCGTTTGTTGTTGGTAGCTGCAAAATGTCATATTGTCGGGCAAACTTCTGGCCCATAAAGAAAACTGGGTCTGTGTAATCCTTGTGTCCCTTCGGTAGAATCCTCATACGTGTTAGGTAGTACTTTAAGGAAGAGATGGGGAGCAATTAACTTTGATGCAGTCTGACTTCCCTATATAAAGCCCCTGTTTGTTACAATCCCATAAGGAAGATTGAGGTACTTTTCTTTGTAGTTTAACTCCTTTAAAGTGAACGGTTGCACAAGACTGGCCTGGATAAAAGACCATTATTCTTGCTTTTCCTATTGCATGCTATATTTAGCATGTAAATGTGTTCCCTCCCCTCCGTTTCACTTCTTTACAGTTCTTCAAATACCGTTTAAAAACAGTGATCAACACACACTGTACATGATGTTTAATTCTAATTGGACACTCGATCCTTATCAGAGTCCCATAAATCGCCAGCCTTATTCTAGAGATTTCCCCTGTGCCCCCCAAACCATTTATCCAGGTCCCACGAGGGGTTATAATGAGCTTGGTGTACTTAAATCAATAAAGCAGTTTACTTCAGTCTGTTATGTCATCCTAAACTTCCCCCTCGGATTGAACTCTTTAAGTTAATTTACAGATGGCAAAAAGATTCATTCACTCCCTCACTAAACCCAAAGTCAGGCACTGTTGGTTTTGATAATGAGTGCAAAATAATCTTTACAGGTGACTTTAAATTTAAGTTTGGATTTCGGTGTACAAATAATTTACCCTTTCCCCCCATCCTCCTCTTGCCTCTGCTCCTTGACTTCCTGTAGCAGTCAGCAGATGAATTGTAAGGAATTTGTAAAGAATGCCCCTTGTGAGTGTGCTCCTGTTACCTTATGAAGGGTACAAGCCTAGAGGGACAGGAAGAAAACGCCACGTGGGGGTGTGTATGTGATCTATTTTTCTAGTAACGATGAGAAATCATACTTGTATGACAAATCCTAACCCACTGTTGGGGTTTCCCAGTGCAGCTG